CAATTTTAAAACTGCAAGTTTGCAGTACAAATTTATATCCGGCAATGCAAACACTTTAAGTCATGATTAATTTGCATTCGATGAACATAAATTTTTCGAAATTTTTTTCTTAATTTTTTCTATAAAAAAGATACATGTTTTTTAATATTCAAAACATTATGTTTGTTTTTTGGGACGCTTAACTTGTGATTCGGTGCCTTAGCGTCAATGCATTTGTAATGTTTATATAAAAACTTGTCATTGAGAGCCATCAGTGAACCGCATCAGAGCAGTTACAATGTCCAGATTCGTTTATTTTTAAATTTAAACACTCCTCCTACTTACCCACAAAGACATATGGACGTCTGCTTATTCAGCCATACACTGTGCACGCAATCTTTTTTATTACACGTCTGTTTATTATGCCATGTACCAGTACGCACATATACCAACTTGCATTATACGAACGACATATAGCCAACCATGAACGTATTAACCAGAATGTAGAATGTTGAGTTCAATCTCCCCAGAATGGGGGGTAATAACTTACTCTGAGATTTGCCTTGTGGTGTATGTGTTTTATTATGTGATGCAAGCTTGATAATAAAAAAAATATGAATAAAAAGGAAAACCGCTAAAGACCACTGACCGACCGACTATTAGTGAAACTTTCTGTCCATGCACTTTATGGAAGAATTTGTAAAATATTCCGTATACATTCGGTTTTGTTCCGTATTTTCGAATTTTTATCGAAGGTAAATTGGCTGGCCAGGCGCATTGATTTGGGAATTATCAATATTTTGAACGCCTTATTATATGTATATTAAAAAAAATATATATATTTATATTTGATTTAATTAGGTTTTTTACTGATAACGTATTTTGTGAAATTTCTTTTCGATATGATATTCAAAAAAAATCAATTTTTAGGTTTTGGATTAAATTTAAAAATTTGAACATTTTTATAAAATTCAATCTGTAATCTTGTATCAGTTTCTGATGCAATATAAGTCAATAGGTCTTTTACAATGTTTTCATTTTTTTTTTTTGATTTTAAATGAATGTATAATTAGACTTTAAGAGTTACTATTGGATATATGCTGATAACTATAAAAACTATGGCAAATACTCTAAAAATACAATAAACTAATCTCTTGATTTTACTTTACAATCACAATCACTTCTTTACAATCACGTCCAAATTATAATTCATGGATTAGTGTTTTCAAACAAAAATCGTTCGCCTATGACGTCTACATTATCGATCCATATTTTGATACCACACCACGGACTCTATAAAATCTTTATGAGCTTTTGTTAAAGAATGTTTTCTTAAATCCGAAATCATTCTTAAATCATAGATTATTCCTATGAGGTGTCTCATATAACATCAGCATTGATGTAAAAAATAATTCACTCGTGTGATGTCAATTTTGAATACTAACTGATATATTTCATTTCCATTTTTGATTTGTCAGTGTAAATCACAATCTCTACCAACTTTATTTTTCAATCTCCTCTTGTTATAGCAAAATTATTATCCAAGTGTAGCTGAGTACCTTAGTAATCTGATTTGTTAGAATTGATACTCTGATAATCGATAAAATATTTTCCTAAACGTTGTTTCCTAAACATTAAATCCCTAAACCTTTGTGCGTTACCCGTTGATTTATAATAAATGTCAATGAATAAGTGAATCTTAGCATTAAGCACGTTAATATGACACGAACTAATTGCTTCCGTAGATTTTACACATGGTGATCGTTGCAGTCTGGCTAGCCTTTAAATAATGTATTGTTTATTCAACGAGAGTGTGTAGCATCCGTTGGGCTGTAGTTTCCATTACTTATCATACATCTTTTTACACGCGTAGAAAGCTATATATGCTTTGCGATATTATTTATCAATATTGGACCTTCAGTTTAATTTTATATCCAGATCTATTCCTGGATACTTAACGTTGTGTGATAGCAAACAATAGCTTGGCCTTAATAGGATTCACCTCCACATCATATTATGAGACCTAAGTGTTATAAAAGGACAACATATTCCGCATACGCTATTGTTTAACTTCCTCGCTGATTAAATCTTAGAAGTAGTTTTATTAGCCATAAGAGAGTAGATAGACAGAAAATTTGATAACGAAAAATGGAAGAGAATATTAAAACAAATTTCAATATAGTTGATATTGAGTAAAAATTACAAAGCTAAAAAATAAAATAAGAGCTGAGAGTATTATTTCTGAATTCATGTTTTAATTACTTTTCTAAAATTTTTAAATTTCTAACTTTTCGTTATTAATCGGATTTAATATAAAATCTTTGATCACAAGATTATTATTCTCTTCTTCTTTGCTTGATGAAACGTACACTTTTACTTTAGAATAAAAGTCTCCAAAGCACTTTTAGTCAATAGCGTCTTTGATCACTTGGGTGATACACTGTAACAAGTGCTCCATTAAAACGAAATATGATAATGAATTATTTAGATGATTTTATAGAAGTATGTCAGCATATCTTCCTGACAGAGTATTGTATTTGATTTAAGAGACCGCAGTTCTTAATTAGTGTGAGCATTCATAGAATCGAACAATCGATTCTCAGAATCAGAATCACTGTGTCTTTGATGTGTCATTTTGTTTATATAATAAATTATAAATCATTCGATTTATGTCCCATAATGTGTTTATTTTATTAAGTTGAGTAGACTGTTTATATCCTCCATAAATATGTAAGATACTTTATCTTTATGAAATTGAAATGGTTTTTGTATTACAAACGAATTTCGAATACTATCTAAAATATATATTTATAATTAAGTTTTAGTAGAGAAGTTTATTTTTGTTTGTATTTATGATAGTCAGTATCTGAGTTTGTGACGTATGTATATATTCATTTTCCGTTAAGTATTAAGACTCTTTAGTACCATAAGTTGTTCAATATTTGGGGTGAATTTTTTAAATTTTCGACTTTCAACCATAAACTGGTATAAAATTGAAGATATATGGTACTATTGAAGATTTCGATTAAATGGTTAATGGTTTTCTGGTTACGCTAAGCCCCCTATGCACTGCGACCAGCTTAATCTATTGTACACCCCTTTGTATTTAGATATTTATTATCTCGAGGAATCGAACCAGCTCCTTTGGAGGGAGTTTTCGAAGGTCTTCATCCTCTAATTGGTATGTACCTAAAATTTTGTTTCTTCTGTGGCCTAGTGCATCATAGTTGGTGATCAGATGTTCCATAGACTCTTCCTCATCACAGCAGAATCTGCAAATATTAGTGTCTGATATACCTATTTTATGTAGGTGTTTGTTACATGCAGCGCGGCCTGTAAGTGCACCAGAGAGTGACTTTAGTTCCTCTTCTTGTTTAGGTTGAGAGCGGTATTTGCTCTTTTTGCATCAAAATTTAAGAATTTTTTGGAATGTTATAGGCCGTCTATTCCATTCCAGTATTCATTGATACTTTTTTGGATCCATTTTTTTTGTCTCCTGTTTTATGTTCGTTTTATTGAATCCAAAGTAGGGGGTTGGAAGGGGGTCCAAAGAATGATCTTGATTCAATTTAACTTGAAGATTTAAATTAAATTAAATTTTTTTATGATATTTTATTTGAAAAAACTCGAATAGTCTTATTAGATTTCTCTATAAAATATATATTTAATAACATAATTGCATAGGATGCTATAGGATGACCTTTGTTATCTGATTGGTATTATAAAGGTTGAAGCTGATGCTAATATATACCGGCCAAAACACCTTGGTTTTGTAAGTGTTCTTGTATAAAAAGTGTGTGTTAATGAATTGTAAATAAATTATTTTTCTTAACTAATTCAGCTAAAGTTTTTTCTAATTTTTAATTGGCAATAACGATTAATATGTATTATTACTACTGTAATTTTTATTATTAAATTTTTTATTTTTTCTATGTATACAGTTATGTAATTAACAGTCTATTTAGTCTATTTTTAATAGACATTTTTTTATCAGCTTTGAAATAATATTTTTCGTATGTTAATAAATATATATTCTTTTATAATCTCAAATTTTAGCCTCATTTTAAATAGATTAGCCGCAAGTATAATTATGACGCATCTGACCCTTGTGCCTGGTTTTTTTTTTTTTTTTCTAAAGAATCGTTACTGCTGATGCAATAGTTTTTTTGTTCAATATAATTTCAAGATTTTTATTGTTCTATAGTTTTTGCTAATATATTTTCTGTTTAACTAAATAATTCATTTCTTAAGAAAGAAAAAACAAATATATAAAATAAAAAAAATTCACAATCAGCTTGAAATCAATCGATCAATTAATTAATCATGTCATCGCCGCACAAATTTCAATATTCGTCTTATCAAATTAGGAATTTGTATATTTTTATAAAAGCTCTCGAATGCCATCTTAACACATTTTTTCATATTGTTTAAAAGAAATATAAACAATTTCCTATGACTCCTAACAATATTTTATTTGTTTCTATCTTTTATTCTTGCGATCTCAGCTTGATTGAGGAGGCTTGACAACTTGAATCTCAAATCAACTGAACAGCTGATGATGCAGACCTTAAATGTAATGTTCTGAGCACAGCAGAAAATGATTGCCTGTTAATTTGTCACGAGAAGTGATTATAATTTAATCAAAGTAAAATAAACTTTTTAAAATATATGTGTGTATATGAACAAATAATAAAACCATTTGACTCGAATATTGTTTTATCATTGAGACGTCGCCGTTCGGTCCGTGTTTGTTTATTGATTCAATTTGATGCCGTGGAATATAGAACCACACCACTCAAGCAATCCAAACCAAACTTATGTAGAACAGTGCAGATATCGCAAATTGAAATCTATTCAAAATAAAATATAAATTGTAAAATTACTAAATGTTCAATCTTAAGTATAATTCAAAAAAAATTTTAATAAAATTAAACAATTGTCAGATCAAAAAATTAAAAAACTGTAAAATATATTTCAAAAATATTTTATTAAGTGTTTAGTATGTTTGTTAAAAGTTTCAAATTAATAATTCGCAATAAAAACGTTATTTAGACAAATTAATTAGAAAAGACGAAAGAGGTTCACAATAGAACTTAAATAATTCACTTCAAGTATAAAATAAAAAATATCACAAATGTTTATCAGAAATCAACATACATTGCTAGATACTACCAGCAGTAGCAGTAGTAGCACAAGCAGTGGAGGAGTGGTTGGAAGTGCCAGCAGCAGCAGTATAGGTGAGAGCGGTAGCGCCGAACTGCTTTGCAGTTCCGGAAGCGGTCCTTCTGCTGCTTGTGATGATTGTAATCCTACCACAAGTAATAATGAAACCGGAAATAACAATAATGCAAAGAAAAATCTTAATCTGAGTTTGACCTTAAATAACAATAATAACAACAATAATAACAATAAAAAGCTTATAAGTAGCATTGGTGGTATTGGTGGCAGCATTTGGCGTTCAGTTACTTCTGCTTCCACAACCTCTTCATCGACTTCATCAGCTTCACCAACTTCATTGTCTACTGGTAGCACTTCAAGTGCCACAGTGGAACGTTCTAAACATTTATTGAAAACTGTTTACTCTAGCGGTGCTAGTTTGGACGGTACCTTTTTTGGCAGCGGTGGAAGGGATAGCGTTGGAGACAATAGTGCTATCATAAAAATGGACGAAGATTCTATGGAAGAGGAAGCATCTGTAAATATCTTTTATTGTATTTTATTTATAATTTAAAATTTATATAATATATAATTTGATAACTTATAATATAAGTATTAATTAGTGCTTAAAATAGTATTTCAGCTGTTCGAGTTGTCATGTACATATGCTCGAGCATTTTTTCGAATACCACTTTATGATCGAACATTTTGCGTTATATCTGTTAGTATAAAAGTAAAAAAAATGAAAAATCAAGCAGATTTACTTGGTTTTCGAACATCATCAAGAGCCAAATGTTTGAATTTGATCATACTCAAGCATCGTAATGTGCGAAACAGTTTAAAGCTCTGGTATAAAGTAAAGGAAATGAAAAATCAAGCAGATTTGCTTGGTTTTCGAACATCATCAAGAGCCAAATGTTCGAATTTGATCATACTCAAGCATCGTAATGTGCGAAACAGTTTAAAGCTCTGGTATAAAGTAAAGAAAATGAAAAACCAAGCAGATTTGCTTGGTTTTCGAACATCATCAAGAGCCAAATGTTCGAATTTGATCATACTCAAGCATCGTAATGTGCGAAACAGTTTAAAGCTCTGGTATAAAGCAAAGGAAATGAAAAATCAAGCAGATTTGCTTGGTTTTCGAACATCATCAAGAGCCAAATGTTCGAATTTGATCATACTCAAGCATCGTAATGTGCGAAACAGTTTAAAGCTCTGGTATACATCCTTTTATATTATATAGAAGATTAGGTATCTATATCATAAGTCATTTCAAAAGTTTACATCATTTTAAATTTTTTTTTTTTTTTGTTTTAAATATATAAATTATATTACTAATATTATGAATTGAATTGAAATGATATTTATGATTGAGTAGCATATATTTAAAGGATTTAAAAAAATTATAACAATTGTAATCAAAATCGGTTATAAGGACTTTAACCCTAAAAGATTTAAGGACTGTCTCCAACTTTTTAAAAACCATTTAAGAATTATTACAAAGATTCTAATTGGGTACTGTAGGTTAAATTAACACCTTACAAAACTAGAAACAGAAAATGAGACCACAAAACACATACTTCGATTTTGTTTAGCGCTAAAAAAGATATATAAGGACTTTGCCATATGAATCTTCATATTAAAAATAAAAATTGAATCTTAACACAATACTATAATTTGTCGCTGAAATTAAACCCAGGTATATAATATTAAAAAATTCAAGGAATAATTTAAATAAAATTCAAACATTTAAATATTCTATTCAGTATTTTATATTATGTTCTTCAGAACAATCTCTTTTCAAATCCATATACTACCAACATTTACATATATCCGTCTTCTAAGCCTTTTTAAAAGCTACAATTTTCGTTATGTCTGTGAACCATTACGGTGAATTTTTTAATTCGAAAACCCCTTTAATTCATAAAACATGCTGTTCCCTTGCGATTTCGAATTATCGGGATTCGACTGTATTTCTTAATAAATAGAACAAATATTAGCTTTCTATTATTAATTTATAGAGTAGTACTTTTCTTTTTAAAAGAATCTTAAAAAGTGAATTCTGACATGTATTTATGTATATCTGCTTAACTTAATATGTGTTTAATTAACTCTTCTTGTTAATTTAATATCCATTTACAAAACTCATGTCCAAATAACTTGCTCGCTTGCCCTATTAACAAATCTGTGCCTGGAGATTACTTTTCAAATAGTCCTTAATAACTATTATTGATATAGCACAATAACTTCAAAGATATAAATAATTCATATATTAAGTATAAAATCGACAAATATATTCAATTTATATTTATTGAATTTCAATTAAATCATTATCTTTGACGTATGTTATCTGGTTCTATGAACTTTCCACCAAATTTTTTTAATTGGTTTTGATTTTTTAACAAAACATCTTTAATCGTTTTCTTAAAAGAATATAAGATATAACCGTATGAATTCACTAAGCCTGTTTTTTTTGTATATTTACATCCCATATCTGTTTTTTTTTTAACATTTAAATGTATTGTAATTTTATAACGAAGGCAGTGAAAGATTAACTAAAAAAACGCGTAATGGTTTAAAGATTGTAGAAATAGATTTCATTATAAAACTAATGAAAGCTAATAGCTGGCTAAATGGAAACTCTGTATATTGTTTTTAAATTTCATAAGAAGTAACTCATTTATTTAAACCGATAATACTACTCTCACTTTATTGCTTTGAAGCGCTAACGTTTTTAAATATTATCAAGTTTAAATTAGGTGGAATATTGTAACACTTACCACCAATGGTTCAAAATTAATTTAATAAGTTCTGTAATAGATATACATTTACCCACATACATTTTAACGTTGTATAACAGTCAGTAACACCCTCCTCTTTTGATTCCCTAGCACCGCAGTTATTCATACAAATTAGTCCCATGTCAACATTGACTTTTCTAATAAAACTTTTGCAATGAACCTCCCTCGTATCTTTTATTTAGTTGCTATTTAATCGTCTATATTGATTTACAATTTATATATATATATATATATATACTCGTATATGCAAAATGTTACTTTTGTCCAGCAAGTGGCATTAAATTAAATATTTCATTAAAAATTCTGTAATCAAAAGTAACTACAAAAAAGGAGAATCGATAGTTTTACGACACTAATAATAAAACACAGTACTAGGAAATGCAAAGGTCTTCCATGATATATGGAAGATATATTTGATTACAACATTTTTTAAAGCTTTAATACGAGTAAAATTAAAGTTAAGAGCGACACTTTAATTAATGCAAATCAACTGTTTTTTTTTAATTAATATATATATATATATATACTTTTTTATAATAAATATTTTTACACATATTTAATTATTATATTTTACCTATATTAGTACTGTGCTTATATAATACATAAATAACACAAATAATTATTCAACTTTCATTAACCCAAGTGTATGGAATTTTTAATTGCTTTTAATCGGGGCTTCGAACCAAAATTTTTCATTCCGGCTTCTCTCTTAGTTCAATTAAATAAAAAATATAACGCTTTCGGTTGGGTTCCGACAAAAATTTAATATTTTTCTCTTGGTTTAGTTCTGAGTGAACATTTTTTTATAAGACCTTTTCTAACAAATTTAATCCATAAAAAAAACAAATAACTTAAAAACAAAACATTTATAAATAAAGACGGTTCTTGAGTGTTTATACATAAGAGTTTTAACATCTGAAAAATAATCCGAAGAATAAGCAAGTCCATACTTTTTTAGTTCAATTTTGGTTTACATCGGTTTTCGGTTAAAAAAATATTGTTAAAAATATTGGTATTTTTCGGTTTTCGGTTTATGACTCATTTTTGTTTTAAGGCCCAGGTTTTAACGCTTCTAGTGGTTCGAATATTATTGTAACTATTCGAGGACTTTGACTTTTTAGAATGCTTTTGCATTTACATTTGAGACGAATACAGCAGGATGCTTGAAAATATTTTAACACGATTTGGGGTAATACGTATTTAATTAGGTTACAATACACTCCCCGTATACCGGCAATGGGTTCGTAGCGTTTCTCGTTGTTCGTGTTAAAAGATGTTTTCTCAGTTCAAACATTTTCGAAAAATTAAACTTCGATTAATATGTTCGAAGTCGTGTATATTCGGACTTTGCAGAGCATCGCAGAGATTGAACATTTTTAATCATTAATTTATACTGTTGTTCTACTAACATTATGGTGATCTTTTACTGTAAGTCTGCAGTAGCTAGACTATGGCACAATATTCTGTATGACAATCGAATTTGTGTTCGATTGTCACTACGCATAGTTTTCGAATTTTCTCTACGAAAAAAACTTTGTACATTTTAGTGAGACTTTATGTAAAAATCTTGCCAAGTTCCTGCCAGTTTAAAGGTTGGGTTAGATCGCAAATCCTATAGTTTATAATTCTTTATCCTTAAGCCTTATTCTTACAGTTTTTTTCGTAATACTGCCATAAAATTTATTACGTTTGTTTTGTTTAACTTCAGTTGCTTCAATTTAACCTTTACAATGCATATGCCCACATTTTATGTAATGAAGTATATATAAGTATATATATATATTAACTATATATATTATAGTTAAAATTGATAACGTGGTATTTTTCTTATAAAATATTTTTACACAACGCTACGGTTTTTAAATTCCTATTAATAATTGGATATGAATTTTAAAAGTTAATGGTTTATTAAATTTTTCGAATCAGTGTCAACTTTCCTTATTATATTATTAAGCAAAATCAATTACTACTCGTGTAGTTAAATAACTCTCATGTGATTGCTTTGTTTGTATTTTTTAATTAAAAATTATTAAAAATAAAAGTTTAAATTTTTTAAATGGTTCTGCAATTCAGCAATTACTGCCAGCTTTTAAATGTAGAAATAGTGAAATTAAATACTCTTATTCTACATGTTTTGCTATACATTTTAATTTATACAAATAATTTATTTGTATATCTTAATTGAATCTAGACATGTGTCTATAGTCCAATCATTTTTATGATTTAATAAAAATTTTATTAGTTCTATTTAGCAGCACTTACCATAATAATAAATATTTCATTTAATCTGCTCTTAGAAATTCAATTTCTAATACCTAATATGCTACAAGTGTAGTTATTAAAAACAATAAATATTATTAAATTATAAACAGCATAAGAATATATATATAACCAAATAATTCGTCCGTCGCTTCTATATGGTTGTGTAGCGTTTAGCAAAGCTTCAAACACCACTATTCGCCAGCTAGAAATTGCACAAAGCCAGGCTTTGAGAGGACTTTTTAAAGTATTATGGTACATTAGAACGAATGACATCCTCAGGGTCCTCAAGATTGATCCCATCAAAAAATATATAAAGGATAGAGCCCTGAAATTATTTGCCAAAACTGACAGACTTACCAACCGCGTTATCAAATCTCAGAATGGTTACAGGCTCCTCGGGGAGGTATGCGGATCTGAGGTCAATTATTGTTTAGTCTGATGAAGTAATAAACAATAATCCAGTCAAGGCGTATAGAGGGGTTTTGAAAAAACCTCGAGTTAAGAAAAAGTAAAAGTGCTCAAGTGCACTGGCTCAAATAGCTTCAACATAATAAGAATAATTTTTTAATGTACATTATCATACCAAATCAAATTTAAGTACTCGTAAAGTATAGTAATACTTATATATAAAATGCCTAGTATGTAGAAAAGAATGACATTATATCCTGGAAAGAACTTGAACAAAAATACGTTAAAAAGATTTAGCTTGGCTTACTTTCATTATACATAAAGTATATATTTTTAATATGAATTTTAAGAAATATCCCCAATACTTAGAAATGATTATATTTTACTACATAACTAAACGCTTCAGCAACATAGAAATCAGGGTGAATGAGAATACTCTCTCAATTGATTCATATTGGGTATGAGAATATTAATTGTATTATGTCTTTAATATATTATCGGTTAAAAAATAAAAGTGTATTTCTACCCTCAATTATATTCCTTCGATATGAAGGGATCATCATATAATAATCTGATACCCGACTAAAGACTCCGTTTAATATTCTGCAAATTCTATTTTACTCTATAAAATTGAATTGTGGGTATTAATTCCATCAAAAGTTGATTATTCTTCTCTATAATGAATCGTTTAAAGAATTTTTTTTTTTTTTTTAAAGTAGAGGTGTAAACGTTAGAATAATATCGCATTTATAATCTAGTTATATACAAAATTATTGCAGCTAATTGCAATTATTAATTAGCCTCATAAACTAAAAATAAAATTTTATGTTTCATAGATGTTTCACAGAACACAGATAGAGCTACAATTGTAAAAAAAATTTGTGGGAAGCACATTGTAGCATGTCAGCTCTTTAATCGAATTTCAGGATTGCTTAAAGTTCAACGTCATTCAGCTCTCCAAATGATGGGTTTTTAGACGTTTTTAGATGAGATATATGCATATACATTTTCCAAAGTTTCTGTCTTCCAGTATTTTCTACATAAACTTTGTTCCGTCAGTATATCTATGATATTTGTTTAGTGACAGGACTAGTTCAACTCACCAATAATTGCCTTTTCATAACTTCTTTTCTTGTAAAGACTTTTTAGAGATATCTACAGTGTCCGCTCGGTATTCGCGATTAATTAAAAATCAGAACTATTGCGGAAACCGAAAACAATATATTCACTGTATTGTATATATTGTTTTCTTGATCATATGACAAATAAACTCTGATTTGGGAAAACTTAACCACAGTTTCCTTTTAATAATTCTATGGACTGATATCCGGAAAATATACAACCATCAGTTCGCTGCTAATCATACCAAAATTACACTGCTCTTTAAAACATTTTTGAACATAATATGGAATCCGGAAAATATTTTCGTTTTTCTCTGTTTCACTGTAACAATATAGGCAAGCTTTACGAACTTCTCTAGAACAAAGATATGCAGTCTAGAACCTTTAATTTACTTATATTTGGGATACAGTTTGACATAATTATTTATGTAATAGATGTATATGTAAAAGTTTACAAATTTATAAGATCGCATGTTATAAAAAAATTTAATATTCAAAATATTTAATATAATATTTATTTTTTATTCCATTATAGAACACATTCCTCAGTTCCGCAGATCCTGATGATGAACTCATTAAAAAACTGCCAAAAGAAATCCTTTTACGTATATTTTCATACCTGGATGTGGTATCTTTATGCAGATGTGCACAAGTAAGTTAATAATATATATTCAATATGTACACGAACTTAATTAATGTATATTAGTATAAAATATATGTTTTAAAGAATATTATACGTACAAATAAATATATTAATAGTCAGTTTATGAGGTTTAAATGCTTTAAGAAAAAAGTGGAATTACTCTTTTTTTTAAAAATAATAGAAATTATTTCGCTCTATGGAGAATAATGTGTAATGTGAACTTATATATATATATATATATATATATAATTGTTAAGAAATTTAATACGAGCTAATGTTCATTAACTAGATTTTTTGTAACAGTCGGGTGGACATATCCCAAAACTGCCAATATTGTGGCTGCCCGGATATGTCCACCCGACTGTTACAAAAAATCTAGTGGTCAGCTCCACTCTTTGAAGTTGTTGTTATTCGTGTTTTTTTTTTTAAAGCCTTTTACAACCTTCTGACGCTAAAGTTTGCGCTCTCATATCAAAGCATAAGGTTGAAAGGTCACTTATAATATAAGTGATATTAGTGATCACCTATATTATAGCATTATCGGAGAAATTGTTTTAGTGGACTTATTCTATTTAACTTTAATTACAAGTACTCTGAGAGCAATTATGGAAAATCTATTCACAATTTAGACTCCTCCTATAAGAATCCTTGGTTTTATAGTGTGTATAGCATATTATGTTTTAACTCAAACATTTTTACATTCTTATTATATCGAAAGAATTGCAGAAAATGCTTTAATTACTTCTCATTAGTCTAAAAAATTGTGCACTGCACTTACAGGTGGATCCACTAAGCTTATTGGTTTTATTTTTTAAACAGACTATAGTCTTAATTTGCATTCCTTAATATATGTTTTCTATTATTAACTGCTTTCCAATCACCAATTGTCAATCCCAGACATTTAGCAATTAAATGCTCTTTCAATTAGATTCTTTCTTCGTTTTCGCAGCAGTATAGGCGGGCATTTAATTTACAAGTGCTTAATTAAGCATTAATTAATTGTAGTTGTTTTAGTTTGCAATAACTTCACATACGATTTTTAAATTCAAAATCTTTTGTCATAGTGAGTCCTCTTCTTTTTTAGTTTTGCTAAAGAACAAGAATTTCATTTTGTGGTATCTCCGCATGTGATTTCTAAATTCCAAATCTGTTGAGTCATAGTGGGTCCTCCCCATTTGTAGTTTTGTTATAGAGAAATAATTTCATTTTGTGGGGTATCAGGTTACAGGTTCATAATAACCTGTATCAGGTTCACAATAACATTACTCTTCGAATACATTAAGATATAAGATTACGCTTAAATCACAAATGTAAACTTATAATAGCTATAATAACTTTATACACATGAAGTTAATATAATATTAGCTAATTATGTCTTTAGCTCTCTGTTAAAAGTGTTCATAAATTTCCACAATTCACTAAATCGTCTTAAGTAGAGGTATCACAATGAACTGTTGTGTCAGTTGAAGAAATGAACTGGCTACCACAGTAATCTCTGACCTTATTTACTATAACATAAAATAAATGGCGTTTCTTATGGCAATAATAATATAAACGTATTTTCTTAAACAAGCCAGAATAATTAAATGAAGGATAGATATCCTATATTATCTTATAATTAATCTATAATTATTGTAAGTATATAGTTATAGATAGTCTATATTCTTTAATTAATGTTTTATATTATATTATATATGTTGTTGTTGTTGTTGTGATTTGAGTTAGTGCTATGGCGCACTTTTACTCTATTGTGGCTGGGGGGCTTATCCCTGCCCCACACTAAACTTTAACTATACTAGAATCATTATCATTTATTTATTTTCTAACTGATGACGGACCGTAGATCAGCATATCTTCTTTGCGCCCTGAGGTGGACTTAAGGTTTGTTAGAGGTTAGAGCGGGGTTGGGCAACATATCAACTTTTTTGAATGATTTTAGGGCTCTGTGCTTGATATACTTTTTTACTTAGTCGATTCTTAGATTATATTATATATATTATATATTATATTATGTATATTATATTATGTATATTATATTATATATTATATTATATATATTATATTATATATTATATTGTATATATTATATTATATAAATTATAGGATTGATATCCCATTTTATGCTTATAGAAAACTTTCAGTTAATAATATATTCTAAAAATTGAAATAACTCTATCATGTATTTTTAATTTCTGAATTAAACTCAACAATTACTAAATTATTTTTATACAATTCACCTGACATATTCTGAAATATACTATATTATTGCAATTTATCTGAAGTTTAAAATAAATATTAGCATTTCCAACCACGCCTTTTATTTGAAGCTGTTTATTTCATATTTATTTCATAAATGCATTAACAAAACCAGACAAAAAGTTGAATTGCATAAATTTATTTACGTGCCCAATAAATGCAACAGTTAATAAATTAATTAATATTAATGTGCCAATTGCAAGAGCCGTAAATGGAAATATTAATTCGCATAATATGTAAATTAATATGTGCGCCAGGGAGTTGGAGACAGCAGATCAATTTCTTCCGCATAGCAAACGAAAAACTTACTTTAAATTAATTTCCCTCAGCCAGCAACTTGTAAATTTATCCGCCAGACACAAAGAACCGAGCAGCACCGCAGCACCGCATTTGAGTAAATCCGAACGACCATTGTCGTCAGTGTTCTTAATGTTGCAGTTGCTCTGAGGATGGGGTTTTTAGTGCTCAGACATTTCGTAGACACAAAGCTTCTTTGTTTTCCTAACCTAACCAGACCAACAAACCAACAAACCAACTCGAGTGCAAGTATGAAAACACTTTTATGATAGTTTTTATGTTGTTGTTATGTTATTCCTTTTAGGGTTGCAGAGCAAAAGGAGTTTATTGCATCTTTTTCATTTAATTCATTTATTTGCTTCATTATAGTGGTTCCTTTCAACTTAAAACTTTGGAGGAGCATTCGCTAAGGTCTTGCATTAGAATCCACATTTAATCTAACAAACAATCAAAATCATTTGAAAACGTGAAATTACACTGGAAATTTTATATTTAACAAGTCACGCACTTACAAGGACTTTTATTATATTTTGCGAACTTCATTTTTCATTTAAGTTTAATTGAAAAAAGGAAAATGGAAAAATTGAGTGTTGCTTGAATTTTTTACTTTATTGATTTAAAAATCTAATTTTCATTTCATTCATTTAAAAACTTTCATACAAATTAAATTTTTTTATACATAAAAAATTAAAAGGAATTTTATCGCCTGCATTTTTTTTTCATTCCATTCCTTCTGAAGAAAAATTTTGCTAAAAGACCTGTGAATATCGACAAACACACAAGTGTCTTGGTATGAGATGGAAAGTGCAATATAAATATATATAAGACTTTGTGCATATATATTCTTATTATTATTATTTTGGAATTTTTCGATATTAGGTCAAACAACATATAAAATTGTGAAACTTTCGGATTGTGAGTTGCGGATATAAATTAAATATCCACTTGAAGACGACAGTATTATAACTGTGGAAAGAATCGGTTATATATAAAATATATACTCTTATATCATGCGTCTGATAGTTGCTGATTTCTCTTAATATACTAACTTAACAACTTTTATGATTACTTATATTGGGTGATATAAAAACTATTCACCGTTTTTTGGTACATTTCTGAAGAAATATATCCCTTATTGTAAAACAATTTTGATAAAGTAAATATTAGTCATTATTATTTATGACCTTTCGTCATATTTCGTTTAGCTTTATAATTCCACCGGTGTAGAAATTCTATGGTGTATCAGCGGTTTTTCGATTCTTCTTCTCTTAATAGGTGCCAACTTTTTACCATTACGACAGTTTTGTAGTGACCGAAACAAATGGTAGTCAGAAACTGTAAGGTGCGGACTATAGAGTGGATGCATCAAAACTTTTCAACCAAGTTCGACCAATTTGTTTTAATAATTCAGTCATTAAAGATGTGTGTGGACTGGTATTGTCATGAGAAAATATGAATCCTTTTCTGTTGGTCATTTGTGATCGTTGTTCCTTGATTGTTTCATTCAAGTGCTCGAATTGTAAGCAGTAAAGAAACAAATTAATATTTCAATTATTAATAGACAATTTCATTTTAATCCCAGTAAACATTCAACAATACCTTATTGATGGTAAGGTAGCTTTGTAATCCTTTGTGGAAGATTATCAGCCGTTGAACATTATCAACATTTTGATCGCCTGTAATAATTCGCATCAAAAAAGGTTCAGTTCCGTTGCGTTTTGGCGACGTTTCACTGATAGTAATTCAATCAAGCGAATTACTTTACGTTACTTTATGTGCTTTCTAAACAATAGGGATCCCTGCGTTATCTGTTTTTTTTTAAATGACTTTAGACTGTCATATCGTTCATGTTTAGTGCCTCCGCTAACTCCTAACAGCTTGCGCGTCGGCCTTGCTTCATTAGTTTTAAAATTATATTTTAAACCCTTAAACGTTCCATACCTAGCAAGGAACGTCAAACCCCTTAGTTGTCTTAAAATATCTTAACTAATTCCGGTATTAGATTTTGAGACTGTACCAATGGATATCGTAGGTCCCGAAGATGGCATTTTCAATGGAACGAATTTTCAACGTCTTCACTTTATGGAAACGAACTTTTAGGGGTGTACGTCTTATATATTGAACACCGATTGAAGTATCGATCTATATTGGTTTTTGCACCACTTGATTGCATAGTTTTTATACGAGTATTGTTTAATTTGATTGACGTGCAATTGCCTCTTCTCCCCAATGATGAATGTGACATAAATAGATTTAGTTTCATTTTCTTTGTAGTTTCTTTGTAGCTTTGTAGTTGTAAAGAGATTTCTGTGGGATCTCTTACAGTAGTGGACTTTGTTGTGAAGTTCCAGTTAGGATTCTAGCCATTGTTGAGAGGTTGTGTCTAAAAAACTTCTAAATGATAAGGCTGAGATCTTAGAACTGATAAGAACTTTCTGATTATCTCCTATACCACTATATAATTTTAATAGAAAATATGTATGTAGTGAAATTAAAGCGTTGGCGTGACGTATAAGGTTTCGGGGATTAGTTTTAAAAATGGAGAAATTTATTGCCAAAAAAACCCTAACAAATTTCTAAATTATAAACTTATTTTTGGCATCTGCTTTCTAGTTTTTATAGCAATGAAAGAGTAAAACTTAAAAAAAATGTATATTTTGATTCTAACTTTATTCTTAATTCTTTGTTTATTTAAAAATTAAAAAAATTTTATTTTTTTATTGCAAAAAAAGATTGCATAAATTCACTAATTTATTTGATCAAGAACGATTACATTCGTATATTACGTTTTATTTTATTTTTTCTGATAAACAAATATCGGTTATTTATAAATAAAATTATATTTCCACATTTCGTAAGTAAACGAAATGCTAACACTAGCTAATGTCAATTCACGCAGTTGGAGAACTTCGTTATAGTTAATCAAAATTCCGAAATTTAGTAATTCTTCAGAGGGGAAAGAAGGAGGCATTAAGAACAACTTTGTGTTCCCGTCACTGTTGTTTTGATTGTTGTTTTATGGACAGAGAGCGTCATCACAATCGTTAAAGTTCAGTTCCCGGAGTGTGACTACCATTTTCGGTTGTCGGTTGTCAGTCGTTGACTAATGTACGATGGTTTGCGTCGCTGAGGTCATGGAACTCTGAGGCATGTTTTTCGTATTTTTGTTTTATGCTCGCAATTTTATGCTATTCAACTTAGACGCAGTTAATCTCTAAATCCTTGTGGTAGGTCAATAAATGGTTTTTATTTTTTACTCATTTTTGCAAATAAAAAGTTGATTTTTACACATTTCTACATAATATACCACATGTTTAAAAATGCTTGGATATCCTTTCTTGTTTCTTTTTGCCATTCTGGAATTTATTGCAGCGAAGTCACATCAGTTCAAGTTTATTGAACCAAGCAATAATTTATCAAGACAAGTTATTTCAAGCAAATGGTGATGATGATTTATCTGCTGGGCTGAGAGCAAACTAAAACGATTTCAAATTTGTGTATGTTTGTGAATTTATTTATTTTAAATTTAGAAGTTCAATACAATTTGTAACAAAACGGTATATACTAATCTTTTACCATTTTCACACTTTTAAAAAATAATGACATAAATAATTAGCATAGTTTTAGTTAAATTAATGTCAATACTTTCAAAACCAAACAATAGAGGTTTTTCATTTGATATATTCTACTGTAGAGATTACTTATTATTTGATTGATTCTATATATAGTATACTAAAGTATCTGGAGTTTTTAGAAAAACCATATTAATAATTATCACTCAATCAAAATTTATTTTATCGCTCTTAAAGAAGTGCAATACTACAACTATTTGGCATAGTCAACATTTTTTGTTGGCTTATTTAGACATAGCCATAGCCTTCAACTCCTGTGAATTTTCTTTTATGTCCAGACAATTTAAGCTTTGAAAAAATCTTATAAGGTCCTGTCAATTAAGTACGATGGTTGTGTTTCTTTTGTGAAAAACTCAATCTCATGGGGTTATACGGTCGTTAGTATACCAGTTTCGTTGCGTTTTTTTTGTCGAAGCCTCTAGCGCAACAATAGATTTGTGCGATGGTCCATTATTCAAATGTACAATCCATGAATTGGGTTGCATAAATAGGATCGTTTCGGTGGATAGTCTCGCATAAATTAAAACTCAAGATTACTGATGACGGGTATTTGGCAATACTCGAAGCAGCTGTATGGTCAACCAAAAATTCAATTAATTAAAATAATATAAAAAAAGACGGATTCGAATAGTGAAGAAAAGACAAAGACAAAAATTTTATTATAGTTAAACTAACTAAAATTGTTGTCTTTGTCTTTTCTTTGCTATTCGAATCTGTCTAACTTTTAAATTCGTCATAAAGACGCATCACTCTCGGCAAAAAAAAATTAACAATAAAAATAATTTTTGTTGTTATAGTTCACTACTTTTCGAAACCTCTCAATCAAAATTTTTAATGTGTTTTTCATTTTTTATTCTTTTATTTGTTCTTTGACTTCTGTATATATAAACGAACTACATAGACCACAGAATATGGAAGGAATTCATACAATAATATTTCAATATAACGAAAGAAAACTCTTTACATTGCCTTGACTATATTGGCGTGGTCATATCTCTCGTTTTGCAAGTTATTGACTTAAATGGTCGGTTGTTTTCGACCAAGTAAAACTTTCTAAATGGTCTGGACTGATACAAATAAACGATTAACAGATTCAGGAAAGTCTGTAGTGTCGCTTGAGAACCAAATCTTTGATTTCCTTGACGGGTTACTCATCAGTTAATGTTGATGGTCATCTAAGGCGTTTTATTTTGTCTTCGACGCTTTCTCCGCCTTTTTTGAATTGTTTATTCCATTTTTGTGACATAGTTTGGCAGCACCAGGCAGAAGCTGTATTTGCTAGTAACTGATTTTAAGTTTAGTGTATTACAATTTTTTTTAATTATGTTATAAAGATATATCAGAAACTAATATTGGAAGTCTCACAAAACTGTCAAATAAAATAAATTGGTTAAAATCACATAAATTAATCAAATATGTGTCATAGAGAAGTCCACTAAAAAATCAAATCACTTGAATGTGAAACATTTTACACAAAAGCACTATGACAACTCAACAGACCAATAGGTCACACGTTTCGTTTAGAACATAACCTAGCCTTACCTATAGTAATATCTCTACAATATTCAAAATTGTTTGGATTTTTTTTATTAAAGGTTTTTAAGCCCATTACTATATTTCGCCCTGAAAAAGAATTCAAATAAACTTGATGAAATTTGTATAAGAAATAATTATAAAAATACAAATAAAATATAGTAAAAAGTATATAGCCTTAGTTTTTTTAATTTAACTGTTTATAAAAGCCTTTAATGGTAAATATATTGTTTCATATTAATAATAGTATCGGATATCAGAAATGTATATCAGAAATGTAAACACATATTTCGATTTGAAAAATCCAATGGTTAAAGTCGAGTTCGTGAGAATTTTCAAATCTCTAAAACCACGTGAATCCGCTGGTTAGACCTGTTGCTAATATGATAAATTCCTCTAGACTGAAACGGAATGATAGCCATTCTACTTTCCTAAAGATGATCCTATTTAATTCAACTACGCCGTGATATCTGGAAATTAAGTCCTGGTTCCTTATGCAAAGGCCCCTTAAAATAATTTACATTTTATAATTCATTGTAGTATGTATATATAAAAAATGTGTAATGTGATGTTATTAGTTTTAAAGATTCTGAAACTTATTGTTAAGCTTTAAGTTAAAGTGATACAATAAAGAAAAATTGGTAAATAAAAAAATATTAATATTATTTAAAATTTATTGTTTTTATTACTTAATATTATGCAATATGTTGTATGGAAGAATGACTTAGTTAATTTTTATATTGTTACAATATTTAAAAAATATCAATAAGTAAGATAAAAAAATTCTATCAATTCTGGAACTAGTTTTTTTAAAAACATTATTTACGGATATTTTATAACTACATATATTCTATAGTTATTATATATTTATTTACTGACGAATATCTGAACTATATTATACAGAGTAGCCAAGGAACTCTGTCTAGCTTCTATATACAATTTTTTTATTCTATTTAAAAAAATTTGTTTATATCTATTAATAAATAGATCAAATATTTGTTAAAATAATATTCTGAAATAATTTAAAAATAATTTCATATATTTACAATTAAATCTCTATTAAACTCATATATTTATTTTTATTCCTTATTAGGTTAGCAAATATTGGAACGTTCTTGCCTTGGATGGGTCAAGTTGGCAAAAAATCAACCTATTCGATTTTCAGCGTGACATTGAGGTATTTCCTTATATATTATAAAAATATTAATATTTTTATAACTTTATTATAATCTTTATTTGGTAAAGGGTAAAGTTATAGAAAAAATATCCAAACGCTGTGGTGGATTTTTGAAGTTTCTTTCTTTACGCGGCTGTCAATCAATCGGAGATCAATCAATAAGGTATGAATCTAACAATTCCATATGAAATATGTTGAATTATTAATATGCATTGTATTTAAATAGAACCTTAGCAAAACACTGCCCCAATATTGAACACTTGGACTTGTCGGAATGCAAGAAAATTACAGATGTGTCTACTCAATCCATAAGCCGTTACTGTGCGAAATTAACTTCAATTAACTTAGATTCATGTTCCAATATAACCGACAATAGTTTAAAATATATATCAGATGGATGTCGAGTAAGTTAAAGTAAATTATTTAATTTTTTTGTTTTTTTTTTATTATATATTTTGCTGTGAAGCTACACCAGCTGTAGGTTTTGTTCTTATTGCTTTAACACTTCATTGATTAATTTTTTTTTTTTTTTTCAATTAAAATTTTACTGAATGAAATAAGATTCTTGCATAAAAGGCCTTTCATTTTTATTTTGACATTCGGTTTTCAACGAAAAGTGTTTCTCATAATACAGACCCATAATTAATGCTGCAAAGAGGCTGTACAGAGATTTGTTTACTAGTTCTCTAAATATTTTGGACAGCATAGAAGTATTCAGTTTGTATCTATTTCGTTACTCTTTTTTCTCCCGGCTCTCTCATATCTCTGCCTGCCATTTATTAAATTCTCTGTTTTTACTTCGTATGTCCTTGCCTACACAAATTCATAATAAACAATGAAATCAGGACAAGAAGCGCAAACACATTTTCCCCCATCTTTAACTTTTCCTATATACAAAGGATACATAAAGGACCTGTGTTTGGGTTTTTTTTATTTACTTTCATGTATTGACTGCAAAAAACTTAAAAAAACTGCATTGTTCCGCTATGGCCTACTTTACCCTTTGCAAATTACATGTTCACAGTTGACTATTGAGCTGGTGGACTATTAAATGAAGTCTATGTCAGTTCATATGTACTAAATTACGAAGCAAGTACATTTCGTACTTCCCTTTTTGTCATACAAAGTTTATATTCATATTGAGTTTAACTTGCTGGTTTGTTGTTCTTGTAGTGTTGCATTGGCCTACTTTTTGCACATAAAAGCTGACATCTTAATATCTTTAACTTGTTAGATTGGTTTTTGCTGTCATTTTTAACTTTAACAAACCAAAGTGTTTTAATTTTATTATAAATAAATATATTTTTAATTATTTCCCTGTTTCTGTCTTTCATTTTGTACTCGCAAATGAGCCACCAAGGCCAATTACTTTGTACTATATATTATGTCTTTAAGTTGATTGATAAGGATTTTTATAGGAAACTTTTTATTTACGTCTTGTAAATTCCATTAAAGTAAATAATTTCACTTTTAAAGTTCTCTTTGAATGTTGCTCCTAATAAAGCAGGAGCAAACAATAAAACAGATCTTTGTTGAAACATGTAGTTTCCTACAAAAATTTTGAAGATTTTTTGAAAACATGAACTAAAGCTTCGCTTTCATCATATGTCGATATACAAAAAAATAAAACGAAAGAATCAAAATCTAAAAACTTTGTCGAGCAAAAGATTACAATGAAAACATGCGGAAAGGGTTGTTTCAGAAGACAACAGAAAGCTTAAGGGTGTAGTGAATACGAAATTTGTACATCCTATATATTTATTTATGCATCTGGATAGTGCATTGAAGTAGTTATATCTAGTTAAAAGTCTATGACAACTATCAATCAACATCATAATTTATATTTCATAAAAAATATAGAAAAAATAAACAAAAATATCTGTAAGTTTTATGCAACACAAATTTGTCATTCAACAACGACTTCCCCTTACAGCCTTCCCCTTGTACTAGCTTTATTAAAATTAGAATATATCCATCTGTTGCATAGCTATTTGTTATGCATAAATGCATCAATTCTCTTTCTGTGCCCCAACTGCAGCTCTACTCACCATGACGTCGCCCATGTGTTTGCCTGCCACAACGCATACACAAAATCAACTTCAATCTATCTTTGAATCTTCCCCATAGAGGTGGCTAGATCTCTGCGTCTTGTTACTAGTTAAGTTCCATTTAAATCCCACTCACCTGAATTCCATTCCTATTCCTAATTTATCCCCCGTTTTACACTATCAATACTTAACTACATTCTATGCCATATATTCGTCTTGTGACTTCCTTTCTTGTTATCTACTTTATAGATCCTTGCGGGTCTATTGACTTTATTACATTCGATTTGGCTGATGCTTTTTTTTAAGTTTTTATAATATAAAAACTTTATTAACTTTAAAAACTTTATTATTTATATAATAATAAATTAAAAAAAACTGTATTTCGGGAAATAATTTTATAATATTTTTATAAAGATTGTAACGACACGTTTCATTCGTCCCTGTTTGCTGGGGTAAACTCAGTGGTTGGTCCTGGGTCGTTGCAATAAATTTATATAGAATGAGGACGCAGTGTTTTAGTTATAAATTTTCAGAAATATATTTATTCTTATATTATTTATTTTTGTTTCTTAAAGCTAACAATGGTTAGAATATAAAAATAGTTTTAAGCTAGTGTATTAGATTTTAGACCATAGAGTTTTGGGAGTTTGCAATCAAAATTTTAAAATGATCTAAAAATCCATTAGAGATATAGCTCATAGGATTTTGAAAAGTTGCATTTAATATTAATTTTTATATCTTATATCTTATCTTATATCTTAATCTGGTAGTAAATGGTAGAGACTTAAAGTTGTTTTAAAAGTACTTATGACATTAGTACGTTGAACATTTCACTTTTTTTAATATTATTGAACGATAGTTTTTTTAAATAACAGCTTATGTTGGTACTTAAATATAAACAATTTCAATTGTTTAAAGTTCTTATGAAATGTTTCATCATTTTTATTCAAAACGTAATTAATTTGAAGTTTCCTGGCCCATGACGATTTGAAAATATCTAAAATAGAAACCACCATGGGGCTTTTTTTTTCTCAAAATACAGTTCTTTTTATTTAAACGTGGTACTTACAAAAAAAAATATGTAAAAAGAGGAGTTCGTCCCATTAGTAAAAAAATGATCAATATATAAAATTTAAAATATCGGAAAAAATCACACTTAAGCACCTTTTTTTGCTGTCATAAAACTATCAAAACGCTTAAACCTGAGGGTAGTGAAAGTTTTTCCATAAATATAGGATAGTCCTGATAGTACTACTGATAATTGTGGCATATAAACGATAACTATAGGTATATCACATTTGTTTTATTGAATTATTAATTATTATTTTATTTAATTAATTAATAATAATTATTAATTTATTTCATGAAATTTGCTCATTTAATCGAATTGGGAGATAATAAATCTAAGATGCACAATAAAGTACAAGGTACATTAATTGTTTGCGAAGCCATAGGCTTATATCAAAGAACTTAGGTAACGAAATATCCCATTCGGTTCAACAATTATACTGCTGATAGGTTAGTTTAAACTTAGATTAATAACTTGACACATCCCTATAATTTTTACCATTAAAGATTAAATTAAAGAATACTTTAGAATGTAGAATTAAACATTCGTCTATATTTTCTACTCGTATCTTACAATTATAGCTAGTGGCTGACAAGATCTAAAGAAGACTAAAAATATTTAAATAATATAATAAAATCGTCAACCAAAAACAAAAATATATTTTAAACAATACTCAATAATGATAATATTTAAAAAAATAAAAATTAAAAATTAATGAGAATAATAATGGCTGAAATAAACTTAATGGACTTTTCACTTTAAATGTCTGGGTCTGTCAATGGGTCTAAAAACAGTGAAGTTTGAGAGTCACAGAATTATTTGATACTTTCAAATCTTTTTATATAATTTAAATATCGTACTTTCTTTTTAAGTTCTGTTCTTTTAATGTTATACTTAAAATCCAAGAAATATAATAGAATACAAAAAAAAAATTAGAAGAATCTTGAATAATTTCAAATTATTTTTCTATAATATAAATATCATACATTGTTTTAAAGACCTATTAACTCAAAATCACAAACATTTCTAATTTAATTAACCGCTATATGTATATTTCTAATGTAATTTCAAGTTTTTTATATCAAAGTACTTGGTAAAGTATCCTCTATACATATAGAAACTCTAACAAGTAATTTGATTTTCTCTAGTTAAACTATGGTTAAGTTATGCCGTAAATACGCTTAACATTAGAAACTCTTTGAAAAAAAAACATTTCCAACAATATCACGAAAACTTGTGGTGGACATAAACTTAATATTTAAGATCAGCAGCTGAAATTTCATTAAAAACTGTTCTCAGTTTTCTGTCATTTTTCGCTCGAATAATTTTGTGACCCAATCGAACATGTTTAGGTATCCTCTAAATATTGTTGTGAAGTAAAATTTTTAGAGCAAAATTATTAATCTGGCAAAATATCTAGAGTGTTATAAATTAATCTTGAATGTTATATATATGTTGCCTGATATTAACCAATCAAAAATAAAAACTCTACTAAAAGTAGATATCGAGTGAAAAAATTACCGTAGATTTGCCAATCGAAAACCACATGAGATAAAAAAAATTAATCCAATTTTATTGTAAAGTGATTAATTAATAAATATATATCTTTCAATATTTTAATTACTTCGTTTACGTTTTAAAAATATATATTAAATAAATTTTACTCTTCATTTTAGTTTTTAATGGAGATAAATGTTTCATGGTGTCATCTGATCAGTGAAAATGGTGTTGAAGCTGTGGCCCGAGGATGTCCTAAATTGCGCAAGTTTTGCAGTAAAGGTTGTAAGCAGGTTAATGATAATGCCATCACTTGTTTAGCACAGTATTGTCCCTATTTAATGGTGCTCAATTTACATAGTTGTGAGGTAACGTAAACTATATTATTTATAAAAATACATAAAATTAATTTATTGATATATTAAGTCTGTTTCCGACTCATCTATACGGCAAATCGCCTCCAATTGTCCTAAGCTACAAAAGCTGTGTGTTTCAAAATGCGCGGAATTAACTGATCTCTCATTAATGGCACTTTCACAAAATAACCCACTATTAAACACACTAGAGGTGTCCGGCTGTCGCAACTTTACTGACGTAGGTTTTCAAGCTTTAGGTAGAAATTGCAAATATTTGGAACGTATGGACTTGGAGGAATGCAACCAAATAACAGATTTAACATTAGCACACTTAGCCACTGGTTGTCCTAGTCTCGAAAAACTGGTAAATCTCTATATATTTTTTTGATTTGGAAATCAATTTTATTATATATTTTCTTTACATGATACAGACTTTATCACATTGTGAGCTTATTACCGACGATGGAATACGTCAGCTTGCTGCCGGTAGTTGCGCTGCTGAGAGTTTATCCGTCCTTGAATTGGATAATTGTCCATTAATCACCGATCGTACATTAGAATATTTAGTATCTTGTCACAATTTACAAAGTATTGAGCTATTTGACTGCCAAATGATAACAAGAGCAGCAATACGTAAATTAAAAGTGTGTTGAGTATAATTTTATTCTTATATTTAATTTTAATTTTTATTTATATCCTTTTTTTATCCCATTTAGAATCATCTACCAAATATTAAAGTTCATGCCTACTTTGCACCAGTTACACCGCCACCAGTCACTACTGGACATCGCCCCCGGTATTGTCGTTGTTGTGAGATTCTTTGAGATTCGGCCATTGGCTTCGCCAGAAAATTTTTGTGCAAGTGCCCCACTGACTGATGTTTGTTTATATTTGCTAGTACTTTTCTGATTGTTATGACGATTACTATAACATCGCTTACATTGATTTTGCTCTTTTCTATAATATACGATGCTATTTGAAATTTTAACGAAACACAAAAATTATATTTATGATATTTGAAAAAGTTATAAAACGATCACCAGATTTGAAATTGTTGTACGTACAAATTTATGCAAAAATAATGTATGTAAATAACAAATTGTTGCATATAATTTTAATTATAACATAATTATTTTTGTTGTATTTTTTTTTTGTTTTATTTATATTATTATTATTTATTTTTTTGATTTTTTTTTTTAATTATATTTTAATATTATTATTATTTATTATTTTTTTTATTATTATAATTTAATATGGAAATAGTAGGACGTAGTAAAACGTGACTCTCATTTTGCATAAGTAACTTTTCAATTTACTGTTACTTATGTTAATATTGTTAATTTTTAAATTTAATTCTATATATTATATAATTATAATATTATTGTTTTTTAGCTGTTTATTTTTAATTTTTTTTTTTGTTTTGTTTTTGTTAAATTTAAATTAAATCAAATTTTCCACAGATCAAATATTAATAATTTATTATTTCCTTTTTTTTTAACACATTATTGCACTCACGTTTCTTTTACTATTTATTAAAAATACCTATTAATCATATAAAGTTGCAAAAGATATACAAGTTTATTTTTTAAAAATCAAAATTTTTAAAATCAACAATTTTTTCTGTTACAAAATATAAATTAAATATACTAAATTATAAACTTTTTATAAAACAACTTATATGTGTGCTAGTAGTGCTAATATTTAAGCAACGAATTATGTATATTTTATATTAAGAATACACTATAGTAAAACATTACCATTGATTTTTTTCCTTTTTAACTAAAAAACAAAATACACAGAAACATTGTAACATCAAAGCAAATCAATATAACAAAATTACTATGAATATTGTAAACAAAAAAAAATAAATATAGTGTTAATCAATACATAAATCGAAAACGTAAATATACAAATAGTAATGTGTGTTGCAAAATTATATTTATAAGTAACTGAATCGTTATTTACTTCAGATTAAAAAAGCGTATTAGCATTTTAGTTTTTAAATTGAAATTGAAAAGTGTAATTCGTATAAGATATAAAATTCATTAGTAACTAATGTTTAATTTTATATAGATGTGTGATAAATGCTTTTAAACATTTTAACAAAAATTATTATATTTAAAAGTAAAATAATAATTAAATATTTATAATATTTTAAAGTGATGATGGATAAAAAGCATATTAGTTATAAGTTTAATTCACTGCAAATGTGCGTACACAACCGATTTTTAAATATATAGATGTTTGAATAAAATATATAAATAATCATATATAATTAAGTTATACAAGAATAGAAAAACAAGACTATAATAAAACAATTACAAAAATTATAATTACATCTGTTTTTTGTTTTATATATACATTTTCTGTTGATTTATTTTTATTGATGATTGTTCGAATGTATTTATTTGGATTAATACATACAAAAAAAATTAATATTATTTATTTATTTACTTAAGCTTTATTTAATTAGAACTGACAATTTCATTATAATCATTCATATTTCATTACGGAAAGAATATGGAATGAATAGATTCAAATCAATATGCTGAACTCATTTTCTATATTAAATACCTACTCAATCGATCCAGTAAAAGATTTATTAATTTTAAAAGCTAAATCGACTATATAAGAATTAAAAATAACTCATGGTGTTTATATATTGAAATAGTATTTCCAATAGGGTTTCTATTTAATAAATTTAAAAGGAAGGTTTTAAGAATTTTTAAGAATTTTGTTGCTAATTTTAGAAAATGTGTCCTTGCAAAAAATTTTAATTTCATTACGAGTAGAATTATTTGAAATAGAAATTGTATGAAATTATATAAGTATATATATTTTATACATACTTATATATTTTATATACAATTTGTATATTATATATTTAGTTTATAATTACATTTTCAATTTATATTTATATATCTGTTTATATTCATACTTTTTCATATATATATTTTTATTTTTTATAATTTTGTAATATTTTATAATTAATTTTATAAAATACATATTTTATAATACATATTTTAATTAATATGTATTAATAATATACATGTATAACATACATATTACATGTATTTATATATAAATATTTTTTATATTCATATTTTTTATATATGTTTATTTTCATTTTATTTATATTCTTTTTATAATTTTTTTTTTAAATTTATTTATTTTTTTAATACAATAAAGTTATCATGAAAATCGATCTGTTATTCACAATAAGAAATTTATATATAAACATAATTGTTTATAAAAAATAAACTTTATAATATTAAAATTGAAAATTAAATTATTTTTATATACATGTAGCCTGTATTATTGTATTTGTTATCAACTAGAATTTACAATTAAATTAATTTAAATTAAATTAAAATTAAATTGAAGTAAACTAATTAAAACAATTAATTTCATGATATATTCTCTACTGATTTTTAATGTCTTTTTTTTTAAAGTGTTGTAATATCATTATTTTTTTCAGTCTATTGTATGATCGTGTTCAATACTATTTTTTTTTTTGAAGCATTTTAAGTCTATATAAGTAACAAGTTTCCTTCATTTTTTTCTCTATTCATTTTTTCTCTCTACAGTATTTTGTTAAACTCTTGACTATATAACGAGTTATGCATTGGTTTAATAGAATAGTCGAATTATACATTCATTTAATATATTAATCGAATTATACATTCGTTATATAGAACGTTAATGTTAATGACAAAATTTTGTTGTTTTATAGACTATTATAGATTATTTGTTATAATTATGATTATAATGTTATAATTATGCGTATAATTATTGTCGTATGAAACTTTAATATTTAATTTAATAATTTAATTTAAACTCAAAAACTGGTTATTTAAAAAAAATTTTTTTTTTACTATCATAAGTCTATTTAAATAACTTATGATTCATAATGTTGATATTTTATTATTATTGTTAAGTTCCTCAATTCTTACACTGAAACCTAGATGTGTTGTACTTCTTTCAAGGATCCATGTTTTTCTCCGAGTCCAATTAACTCGATAATATCATACCGTCTTTACCGACGGTAGAAGATTTATTTCTTTAGAAGATTCTGAAATTGGTTAAATTTTAAAATAAAAAATACTCCTGCAAAAGTAACTGTTCGTTGAGTAGGATACGTATTCACATATTAATTAAACATACTATATACTTTAAAAAAATCTCTAGAATAACAAAAATTTTCTTAATTGATTTTTCTTTTAAATTAAACAAAATAATCTATGCCTATATCATAGATTTTTTTAGTTAGTTTGAGTTTTTAGATAAAACAATATTTTTTTTTAAATTTTTTTATATATTTACTTATATATTTATAATTTATTTTTTTTTTGTTTTGATAAAATAAAAACTTAATATATATTTTTCTTATTAATCTGTGATGTACATAAATACAAAAAAAAAAGTAAATTAAGATTATAATACAGAATTTAATAAGTTTTTTTATTTAATTTGAAAAAAAACTAAATAATCATACTTAAAAGAATTTTAGTTTTCAATTCAAAAGAATTTATTTATATAATTTAGATATAAAAATTTTTTAAATTAAATATAGAAGTTAATAAAAAATCAATAAATACATGTTTAAATAATTTATAAACAAATAAAAAAACGGGTACAAAAAGAACAGTTTGTAAAATATGTGGAAGTCATAAGAAATTCTTTAGGATATATAAAAAAAATGTCAAGAAATCAATGATTTCAATGATGTATTATTGATTCCACATTGTTTTTGTAAATTAACAAAATTAAAATAGAAGACCAAAGATAGTTATTTTTTTTCTTTTTTAATAATTAACTATTAAAAACGTTGAGAACTACAAACTTATGTTCATCGATAAAATTGAAATTAATTAAAAATCTCTAAAACTAAAATAAAAGTGAAAAAAATATTTTCTTGAAAATTTTGTAAATTAAACATTTGAAAAGATCATTAAAAAATATTACTATATTTTCCTAAGCCCACTTATGAAATAACAATAAAAATGCAAATGTAATATTTAATTAAATATAAAAACCTTATATTTAAAGATAAAAAACTATATATATTAACTTATTAAGGTTATAGTTTTCTAGAAATTGGAACAAAATGGCGTTTGAAACAAAAGATACAAGAGTCTTAACATAAAATATATATTTAGTTTTATTATAATTTAAATAATTTTGAAAATATATTATAATTTAATATACTTTTCACTGAGATTACTAAAGAATTACAATTTAAAAAAGGGCAAATAAATTCTATAAATTTACTTATCTTTTTTTAAATTATTTATTTTGTTTTATTATTTTTTTATTTTATTTTATTTTTTGTTTAATTTTTTTAATTTTATTTTTGATGTCGACATTTATTTTATTTTATTATTTATTTTAATTTATGATGTAACACATCATTTATTTTATTATTATTTTTTATTACTTATATTATTATATATTTTAATACTTGTACTATATTTATATTTATAATCTCATTAATTAGTTAATTACTTATAAATGTAAATAATTTTCATAACTGATTTATAAATTTATATAATAACGTTTATTATCTTTTATATTTATATACCAAAAAAAAAAAATTATCTTTTTACAAAAAGTAAAAATATTTTTTTTTTTATATTTCTTAAAAATATATTTAATATTTGATTAAAGTGTATATAATTTGTTTTTCAAAATAATATTATAAAAAACATTATTTTTTAGATTTAAATATTATCTCATATAATTTTAGTGATTATATTAAGTTTTAATTTTAATAAATTCTTAACAGTGCCCCAATATATATTTTTGTTAACATATATGTGTAATAAATTATAAAATAAATTTAAAAATTAAATTCTAAATTTGAAATTCGTTTAAAAATTTTCGTTTAAAATCCGTTCCATAACATACAAAATTGCAATTCTGATACAAAGTTTAAAAAAATATATATAAATAAAAATATATACAAATTTTATTTTTAAACAGAGTCAATATATCTTTCTATTTATGTATTGTTTTTAAATAGCAAAATTTTTAAAGTAAATTAAAAACAG